GCCAACCAAACTCTGCATATTCCAAGTGAAAGCCTGTTTTGATGCTGGGAGAGGGCGTACCAAGTTTTCCACCATTAATTAATGAAACCAAATTGAATGCGATGCAGGCAGCGGTAGGTGAGAGGGGCCATACGCTTCGGTTGATGTGAGCGAAAAAATCACTCCGCGCTCAGTTGCCTCCACAGTAAGTTCCATCGAAACTCCCTCTGGAGAGGGTATATAGGGTGGGTGTGTTCGATGGAAGTGAGTGCCACAGTTTTGAATTCCACGAGTGAGTGCTACGAACGATCTGAGGACAAGCGAGTTGAGTGGAGCGAGGATGTGGCGTGTGGAGATTGGAGGGGGTGCATCATCGCCGAGGCGTGTGAAGAAACCTGAGCCGAGAATTTGATGAGAGACCGCATCTCCTTAAGTTCCCAATAGGATGGTTATAAAATAGTCCAACGGGAACTAAAAATATCATGATTAGATCGATGTTTGCAGAACTCTGAAGGAAACCGACGGAATCGCCTAGATGTTGAACATTGACTGTTTGCTCAAAAAGTGTTACAACTTACGCGGAGTGGTGTCCCCAAGACATTCTAACGAGCGAAATTTGCCGTTTAAAGTTTATTTTGCTCTACTTACAGATGGAATCTTGGAGTCGAATCTCATTAAGCTACCTGCTAAATGAATAAAAAAAATTACGACAATTGCTAATGGAGTCTTTTTCCGAATATAAGCACGTTTGATTGGGCCTTTAGCACTCCTCCTTTGTGATTCAAACCTGACTTCAGATACTTTCCGTGACAGTTTAATTGTTGCTCATTGCATTGGGTGTTCACTGATCTAAAAATGCTGTAAATGGGACATACATACAGGCTCGCTTTAATTGCTACACCAATTTAACATCCTTTACGATTCGACTGATTATACTCATAACATATTCACTAATTGCAAGCCTTCCAATGATCGGTGATGGCTGACAAAGTAAAGTTCTTTTCGTTCTTAACAGAAATAATCGCGTCACAGTGGATAACATGTAACTGTAGCTTTAAAATCATTCAAGGGAGGCACGAAGCGACCATCGTACGAGAACCGCTTTGGTTGTCCCTCAATCCCATGTACTTGGTCCCTCGAAATTTTTTAATCAGGGATAATCTCGCTTGATGCATTATTAAATTCAAAACTCAATGCAAGTAAATAATATTCCGTAAAATATACGAATGCATTAGTAACTTGCAAAAATGGTAAGTCAGCCTTATTTCATTTTCGTGCTTTTATTCACAAAATCCATCGTTTTGACTTTAAATGAGCTTTAGCGTTAAACCTGGGTTGCATAGGTTGCGACTAATTCACGAATAAATAAAAAAATGTTCATTTGATATGGGATGGGAATAGAAGACTTGTATGATTTATTGTAGTAATATAATACTTTCACAATCCCATAGAAATACACCTGGAAGTTTTTTAATCTGATGATTAATTGGAAGCATTGCTGCGGAAGTCTAGTTTCCACAACATTTGGAAATCAGGGAGGTTGTTAAAAAGATTTTTCCTGATGTAGATGTTCGCAATACGAGTCGCAGTCGGTGGCAGCCAAACTAACGTAGCTTCGGCAAAGTGTAGTTACAAATTTTGCTTCTAACCATCTGTGACATTTTATCTGCCTCACTAGTTACTTAAAAAAAATTACTATTCTCATTCTGAAGGTATTGATGTGTTGCGGCGCCCTCATATGGTTTTGGGAACCACCATAGGGCCGACAATCTACGTTGACACGGCCTGACCAAAAGAAGAGTAGAAAATGCAGATGACACGTAGCTCAACTTATTTACTGGTGCGGTAGCGGCGTGAGTGTGTACAGGATAACAAGTGCGTTTGCATGGCTTCGCTAAGCATTGATCTCTGAACGAAAATCGATTAAATCGAGTACGCGCACGCTTGCTGTGCTCGCTTGCTGCTCGCCACAGATGATTGGTTCCGTGGAGGTCAATAGGAGACATATATGTAAAAAAATTATAAACTTATTACACTAACTTCGTAACAAATAATATTAAATAGTTTTTATAATATGTCCTGCATTCAGTAGCAAATGTTATTTGGCTGAATGGCTTGAAGTGATGGAAAACAGTGTTATTTCAAAGGATTCCAGCATAACTATGTCATGACTGTAAATAAAATTTCTTTTGATGGACTCTTTATGTCTTTGATCCAAAGCAGAAGTTGATTCGAGTAATTCAGAATTTGTTGACAGAAAAATGCCCATTTTTTGCTTTGAAATAGTTTTAAAGATATAAAATTCAATCTGATTAGTCCAATTTACCACTACCAAACATGTTAAAATTGCAAAATTGCCTAAATGCAAGATCTCAGACATAGGGATGCTTTGTAAAGTTCATAATGGAATCTGTTGAGTTGTTGAGGGCCTTAATTGAAATACCAAGTCAGTACGAGTAACCTTATTGCATTTTGTAAACCGATATTAATTCCCCAACCCAGTGAGTTGAATTCAAATTTAGAGATGAAACTGAAATACAACAAAGTACTGACATTTCTGCTTAAAAATTTGCGTAAATCCCTAATCACTGCTGACATCTTGTGGTAGCCTCCTTAGCACCTCGTAGAGGTTAAACGACATAATAATAAAATCCTAGTTTTCTTTTCCCGAAATTACCCCATGAGTATAATCTAGCCGGTATTTAAACTTAAACATTGTAAAATTAAAACGACTTTGATGTCCACTTAGTATGGTAAGCCACCGCACGTGATTTTGCATGTCACCTGTAAGTGTTGGCACTTTAAGATATGGCTCTCTTATTTTTTTATTAAAACCGAATACATTGGTATTAAGTTGTTGAAGCCCTTTACTACACGAAGTAACCCAGGAAGAAAATAAGTCCAGGGATGGAAACCCGATCGTTTACTAGACAGCTCGACCAAGTTGTGCGTGTTTGTACTGTGTGGACGTGTAAAAATACATGAATGAAGCGGGTGGTGGTGGTGGTGGTGGTACATGCAGAGAGGTTAATGAACCGGTGGCCTCACGTGACTGACGGGCACGGCGTGAAAAGGGGGGGACGTGTGTTGGAAGCTGCGACGACTGGGTCATTGGACGTGAATCAATAGGATTAACTACACAGTAATCCGTCGCTGTGTTTTGTAGTCAGATTAGTCTATGCGTCCGGATCTAAGCGCGGTTGGAAAGAATAATTTATCAAAGTCAAAGCATCCATGCTTCTTCATCTGGAAAGTGCCTCTTTTAGGTAAATAAAAAAAACCTTGCTTTGTCCGAGGCGGGTAGTAGAGAAGAATAATTTTACATCAAATTATTAGTGTTTGTATACATCATAATTTAAATCCTCTTTTAGGAAACAACGAGGCAAATAACCACTAGAACTAGTGGCATCACAAGCCACTAATTACCGATTGCCAATTTTGGTACGGGAGGCAACAAAGTCGGGTTTCTAGGCTTTAAGTCCTTATGGGTTGATATTTGATGGAAGGCTGGATGCTTTTTATTGGCAGGGGTCTGGTAAATTTCACAAGACTTTGTTCCTACAATGTTGATTAACTGATGCAATAATCGTAAACCGAAGATCATGTGAATGAAGGTAAGGACGGTGCGGCACCAATGAACATTCGTAGAAACTCAGAAGAGTTTCTCAAGTGCCACTTTACTTAACTTTTGCATTGAAAGTTTTTTTGGATAAAAGTACTAGCCCTTTTTTACCTTTTTACGCAATATCCACCCACATTTGGAAATCTGAAATTTCATAATTCGTTCTGGAGACGCAATGTATTTACATTTCACTGCAATTCACTTCAGCATTCCTGTCGCACAAATCCCATACGATTTGTCAGACATCCAAAGCAGTAAAAGCATTTAACCCAAATTTGTCGTGCCCCAAAAAAATAACTTTTATTGTAAATGCTTACTAAATTAAGGTAAAATAACCCTCCAAAAAGAACTCATGCCTTGACATAGGTCTTTCTTCAATGCTGCAACTTCACTGCGACATCTTAGGATTTATCAAATGACTCTCAGAAACATGTTAAGTGGTTTTTCGTTTTCCATGCACTAAGTAACGCTGTGGCTCCAAGAGGTAGGGCTCGGCTCCTGGTTAAAGGTTAATTAGTGCAATAAACCACGCCCACGGTAATAGCACAAACCCAGAACCATTTGAAAATCGATAAGCTTTTTGTGTATGTCCTTAAACACCGCCGATCGGATCAATCTTATATGTAAACAGCATCGGAATCCCAGTTAAGCAATGCTTTTCTTACGGTGTAGTCACAACCAGTACAATGAAACTTATGTTTTCAAGAACTAACACATTAAAACCAAGCATCAAAGGTACAGTGTCAGTAGGGAGGACTTAGACCAAACCTAAATTCCTGTGACTGTAGTTTTAGGGTTCTATTTATGCATAAAATGGATTTGACAGTTATAAAACACCTTAAGCTGGACCGAAATCCAAGAAAATATTTGTTATTTGTTTCAATATCAGGGAGGAATATAAAATTTAAGTTTACTAGACTGTGATGTTCAGGGCTGATTGCAGTCAAGGTCTGTTCCTTCTAGAATAAGATAATAGGCTCTTTCCAAAAATTCTTCTTTAAAAATAAAAATAAGTAAAAGCTTGTCAATTATCATTTTAGATGAATAAATCAATTGTTTTTACTCATTGTACTGTACCATTTCTGCCGGGAGGAAAACTCATCCTTGATCTTATCAGTGATTGGACAGACTAGTCACAACCTCGGAGACCTAACAACCCACGCACACTGGCTGTTTTCTGTGTTTCGACATTTAGGCTCTTGATTTAGTAAATACTCCGATTTTTCGAGCAAGCAAAAACCATTTTAGCAGGCTCCCATTGGCTAAGAAATATTTTATACCAGTTCATATTTGATTGGTTGTTTTAAGTGGGCCAACAAAAAGGCAATCCGACTGCTTCAAGGGAATTCACGACAACTAAGGACATCTAAAGGATGTTACTTTCCTAAAACTCCTCAAAATGGAGCCAATAACTCCAGAACATGAAACAGGAGGGAATCTACGTGAAGGTGTCTGGGCTACATTCGTTCTCTTTTGTCGATGCACAACTGTTCGGGGCTTCGGAAAGCTGTGGCAGGGACCAATGCTTCTTCGCTTCATTTGGGCAACATTTGTGGTGTCCATGATGTGTGTTCTTATAACTTCCGTAGTACTTCTGATTCTGGATTTTTTTGCGTATGACGTTGGCGTTCATACACGCCTTCTTCTGGACGATCCTTCACCGTTCCCTGCCCTCACCGTTTGTCACCACTATCCATTTTCTCTTGCTGCTCGGAAACTGTGGCAAGAAAAACAGGTTTTGTCGCCTGGTCAATTCAATCGCTACATGCGGAATATAACTTGGACAAATTTACTTAACAACGACCTTCAAGCTGCCGAGGCCACGTCTTTCTACGACAGTCTCTCGGTTTATTATCAAAATCTTCGCCCGGACGAGGCAAAATTACTTGGACATGACCATAGAGTTTTTCTTAATTGCATGCGTATCTCGTCACAGACAACGTTCTTCGAGGATGACTGTCGTCTGCTGAAGGGCTACAAGGTGCGACAGTTTTCGCACCACCAATACCTAAACTGTCACACATTTGAACCGACCAATTGGCAAGAATCAATGGACACATCGTTTCTCAGCCTAATTGTGAGCATGGGACCCAAAGAAAGCTCCGATCCGGATGAGCAGGCTTTCCTTCCGGACATCTTTGAGCAAGCAAAAGGACTCAGAGTAGTCGTTCATGAACCTGGCACTTATCCAGATCTGGAGAGGTTTGGCCTGCATGCAGAACCTGGAAAGTTAAACGAAATCGGCTATGAACCTGTTCGGTGGACAAAAATGAATACACCTACCAAGCCATGCTTTCATCAAGCTGGCCTGTACAATGATCTCGATGAGGTCTACAATTACACTCACGAGCAGTGTCTCTTGCTACACCAACAAAAGGAAATCATTGAAAGTTGCGGCTGTTACTACGTCATGAACCCCCGACCGTCTTTTCCTTCAGACGAAAAACCTTACTGCGGCAGAATGTGGCCGAAACTGGATATTGAGGAATTTGTCAAACGTCTAGAGTGCCTAAAACACAAATTAGATATATCAGTCAAGAGAAAATACGACGGATCTACCTGTCTGCCGCGCTGCGAATACTACACGTATGATTCGGCTATTTCAATCACAAAGTGGAGGGCTCAGTTGTGGCAATTGTACTGGCTTCGCGTTCAAAACCAGGCGATTAGGTTGGTTCAAGACCACATCTCAAAGAACCCGGGTAAGGACATAAAAGATAGCCTGGGCTACCGGATGTGGAAACGCTACCTCGGTAAAGAGAATCTGCGCGATATCCCCAAAGAAGCCAGCCTGAGTGACGCAGAACGACCACCGGACGTCATAAAACGGGTAAATCTCGATATCGACGACGACCTTTCAACCAATGACGACGGGTTCGCGTACATCGTGCTCAAGCGTAAATCTCAAAACACAATAGACAATACAGAAAAACTTGTTCTCACGCTTAACGTCCTGGTGTCTAGAATTGGAGGCCTCTGTTCTGTAACCATTGGAATCACCGCCGCCTGTGTAGTGGAGATTATTGAATTTGTCTACTATGCTAACAGACATAAAAAGTCGAAGCATCAAAGGCGGCGGGACGGTATGGAAGCGGTGGACCATGAATCCGAAAAACATTTGGAAAAAACTTGTTGAAGTCGGACAAAGTGTCGCCAAGTTGGAGAAGGTGGAGGGCAGAGAATGCCAGGCCAAAAAGACAGAGGCCTAACTGTACGTTATTTACTTTGTGCCGACTAGGAATCGCTACTTGCACATAAATTACACGCCCATGGTACTTCCTTAGTTCTAAGTTTGTGTGTGTACAAAGTGTGCATCTGCAGAAAATACTTCTGTATTTAAAAAAAGTCGTTCTAAACTGGGTGCTTATTTGTCGACGGAACGCGTACGTGTCACTGGGAAGAAACGTGTTCAAACGGGAATTCGATCACATTTGCAGCACGCATTTAAAGAAATTTATGAACTGAATAGCAAAGTGACACACCTATCCAAGATAGCGGGGATTTATTTTTCGAATAAATGTTTTGTCTTGGAAAAAACCCATGACAACGTCGATTATCGAAACTCGGAAGGTTCGATCTTCGGTAAATCTAGGCCGGATAGCTGCAACTCCTTTAGAATGGAAATGTCTACACATTGTTGGCCGAACCACTGCAAACTTGGTCTTTACTTCGTTTTTCCTGATTTTTCTCTCAGCCAGCTGTTCCGAGCGTAGTTGGAAAACGAGAAGAAATAAAAAGAAAACGTACGTTTTGATTGAGGCGAAGTGAGTCGCATTGTTGCACCTTCGTGTTAATGGAATCTTATTAATTAAGACGTGATTTTCACTTTAAATTTGGGTCGTAGTGTAGAGGCGGGACATGGACTCCCTTCCTTCTCGCTATTTAGTGATAACCTTCAGGCTTTAGTAAAAGCAAATTTTTCCACCAAATTTCCAGTATAGGCATATTCTGAATTATGTCAACGTAAGTCGTCCGGAATGGATTTGAAAACTTGTAATGCCTCGTATAAACGAAAAACAAAGACATCGGGTATTGAGGCACCTGAAATTCATAAGAATATGAGTGTCGTTAATTAATAAAATGTACACATTTTAGTAGCTAGGTGTTTCATTCAGCTAATGAAAAAGCACTTTGTAAGGCCGAGTTCTTACAAAGGAGATCAGTTTGTTTGAAATACTGTCTTTATTATAGGGCTATTACCAATCCTATTACCTATTTCGTGCCTTCTCAAAATCAATTTTTTACGTATTGTCCGTAACCAAGAGCACGCACTCCCTCAGACATCCGGTACCCCAGATCCCTTATCAGACGCTTGCCAATTAATTCTCGTGCAGAGCTTTTAATGCCTCGGCCACCAATATATGTGTCAAGAATGACCTTGACCGGATGGATGAAGGGGGTTAGCACAGATGGAGCTGTCAGTGGGTGCCGTGGATGTAGCGTGGTTAGGGGAATTGCGTAAACAGTGACAAAACCCCAAACCCGCGATGAGTTGTCTTGGGGAATGCTGGATCTCCAACACAATCATTCTGTTCTCATCCAAAAGGTTAGGTATCGGATTTCGGGACTGACACTAATCTAATGAACGCACGGATAGATTCTATTTACAATTTGAATGAAACTAAAGACACTGAATTTCCTTCGTGAATATGCACGTTCCGAAAAAAATTAGGGACGAAAAACAGCGAGCCTTGCCTTGTGATAATGAAGATAAAATACACCGCAACCTAAGAATGCAATTGATGCAACTAATTACTCTTTGCAGCTACGTTGAAACGTGCAGGAGTTGGACAGCACTCTCAGCCTCGGTATGCTCATCTTGGAGAAGGCGGTTACGCCTTTCACTCTCAGATAAACAGCCATTTACAACTTGGCATTTTACCACTTTAACCTATTAAAGCATCTTAAGTTGAATTTCCTGCCAAATTTAAGTGAATTTCTATTGGAACGTTTGTTGACTAAATTTATGCAATTTTGGATAGAATGTACAAATAAATAGTTAAACCCGGAATAATGAATGTTGAACAATGGAAGACTGCATTAAAACACACGTAAACTTGCGGGTTTTGTAACCATTTGAGTGTCCCAAGGTCATTTGTTTGGTATTTCACACGTTTGAATACGAGTGTAAGTTCTCGACACAGTTCTCCACCATCACTGGAACGAGTTGGCTTCTTATTTTTTAATGATTCATATTTGAACACAGATCGCTATCACCTATAAGTCACTGTTGCGCTTCATTGGTTCTACTTTAAGATATTTATTGGCATCACGCATTTCCGGTATACGGTTTAGGGAGTCAGAGACGAATCACATTATTGGACATCACTCGGTGAGGTTTCTATGCAGTTCAAATTTTCATGTGTCGTGACATTAAGTGCAGTCAGCTATAAAAGACAATTGGTGACATGTTCATTCAACTCTAACTTCCCAATATACTAAACGGAAGTGTACTTTTGCCTAAAACGTCAGGCACAATACTTCTATAAATGAATTAATACAGAACGCCGATATCCGGAATTAGTAGACCTCTTGTAGTAGGTTCTAAATAATTGACGATTATTAAACATCTTTCTCAGGCCTAACGGGACACATTGTATACACATCGATTTGAAGCAATTAGCAGACACCTTAAACTCTGTCTCGAAGTTAGGGATAATTATACAATTACTTCAGACATATTTGGTTTTGAGCTAATTTATTGCAAAATCTGAAAAATTAGCTCGACTTTAGACCATCAGTTTGCGGCAAATTGGCCAAAATTCTCTCCTCACCCGTCACCCCGTCTCCTTAAAAAGTATCGCATGACTAATACATTTGTCCCAAATGACAGCAGATTCTTTATAATACATCAGAACAATTTAACAACAGACTTTTCTGATTTTCAGTACTGAACATCAGGTTCCGAATGGGCCGTAAAGATTACGCTTGTTGAAACATGATTCATAGTTTTGAGTTCCGACCACGGTACATAGTGTCACCCTCGCCACATTCTGCGTCAGCCCATACTTTCATTGTGCAAGTAGAAAATTCCTCTTTTACAAGTGTTTTTCTGTTATGTGCAGAGCACTTAAAAATTTATTCGCCGGCCAAAATAGGGGTTAATGATTGAAAGTTTAAAGACAGAGACGTAAAATAAGATTAAAATCCTATAGAAACACAAAATCCAAGCTGTCATGCATAGGAAATGCACTTTTTGAGCAGAAACTGCACTTTTTCCTTGAATGCTCACATTTTACTTCATACTAGTCCTGGGCTAGACGGTATTGAGATGTCCAGTTTGCAAAGTTAGCAATTTTACTAGTCCTGACAAGTTGGGGACTCACTTGAAAGCTGTTTCACAAATGAAGTCCTATATTCAGCGTGAGAATGTTTAAGCTGCGATCGTACCGATTAGTCTATGTCGCGTATCCTGGTCTTATTTTGAACATTTTTAGCAATGGGAAGCTTGCAGTGAATGAGAGAAGCATATTCACGAGTTGATCGAATGTCGTCGATTGTTGATTACAGTGAAAAAAGTTAAATTTAAGACAGTTTGTACACATACAACCCGGATGCGGGTAGCGGTGACCACGTTTGAGGGCACATGCTAATAAGGGTGGTGTGATTCGAAGTAAGAGGTTATGAGTTTATGTGCAACGCAAAAGGTATCAAATATCTAGGCATAGCTATTTGTCATTGATATTTGAGGATTATTACCTGCAGCTGTCTTTAGCATGAATTTCCTGACCACGGACATAAAATCGCACAGACAAGAGCCATTTATGGCAGTTTTATTTCAGCATAAGGCTGAAGGTTTTTTAACACACAAAATTCACTTTGTGCACTATTTAGATGGGAGCATTGAGTGCCAATTTTTTTCCTGCATGCAGCGGACTTTTGCAGGACTAAATTCTTGTATGTTGACATGTTTTATTTCAAGCAACGTCTATACGGTACTCCAGATCGGCTATTTTACAAAACCTCTAATTATTACACGCTGATTGCTAGTTTCGCATCAAAAAACTTGATAGATCATTACTTTTAAGCCACATCCCTACAAATTCAAGCTGGACGTTCCTGTTGTGATTTTAATGATTAGAGTAAATGTGTGGAGTAAAGACAGCCTTTGAAAACGAGTTTGCCACATTTTAATCAGCCAATAAAACTAAAAAACACGCTTAACTGGTTTACCATTTTGAGCCGTTGATCATTAAAATTTAAGCACAGTAAACGCCAGCGAAACCAGGAAATACATGGATGGACTTGGCATTTGGTAATGCACTGAAAATTTTAAGCTGAAATTTAAAAGTAAAACCGTTCAAGTACGAAGTTAACATCTCTTGTGAGACATTTCTTGAGTTCTAGTGCAACAAAGTCACTCAGAAGAAAGACAAAAACGTCTTGAGGAACTTCTCTCGAAAGGTAAGAAATGTTGCCAACAAGCAAAAAACAAGACATGCATGTCTGATAAAATAACTGAGCAGAATCCTACTGGTACGTTACAAAACGTCGGTCTTACCCCTGAATGCCGAGCCCCATTTTTTTCAAAATATTTCTTTTTCAGTGAATTAAAGTCACCGTTTCAAGCTGACGCATTTGCAATATAACTTTTTTTGCCAAAGAAGGTTAATACTGAGTTGTTAGCGGATGTGAATTTAAATGGATTTTCAAGATGCAAAAATGTTGCCCATTTGTCTACGATTACTTTGCTAAACTTGACCATGCAAAAATGAAGATATTAACAATGACAACTTATGAGGTAGACTAATAGGAGGATTTCACATGGCGTCCAGAAAATGCCTTTAAAAGGAGCCATAATTTATTGTAAAGAAGGTTTCATTGATGCAAATCTTATTCCATTTACTGTTGGATTAGAGACGGGGTTCATTTTACAATGAATCAACCGCGAATCGCGAAATTACATTGAAATTCGTTTCAGTCATATGTGCATGTTTTCTGAACTTACGAAATGGAGACATAAAACATTTAGCTCAAAGCATTTTTAGAGAAAACTACGTTATTAAACGTGCAAACGCTATAATTTGAGTTAAAATGCTTGATTTCACCACACACAGCTGACAAATATGGGGTACAACCGCGCAAACAAGCATAAAGTGGGCATAGATGAAAAAGTCAGTGCGCCTTCGTTGGTAA